AGATTTTAAAAAACCTAATTTTATTTCAGTGTTAAATTCCGTAACAGATTATAATAAAAAATGTCTCCAGATCTTCACTGGTTGATGATTGTTTTATTCGGAACCTGCTGATTTTGAATTGGTTACCCCTGATATAGATGATATGGCTCTGGATTTTCTCAGTTTTAATTTAAAAAAGACAAGATTCTAGTTTTTTAACATCCCACAGTTTAAAGTCCAGTTATTTATTTGAGGCGGCTGTCAAAGATTAAGCCACTCTTGCCTGAAGTTTTTCGACACAGGCAAGAAACTCACACACATATACATAAATATATATATATACACATGTGTATGTGTATTTTCAAGCCATGCCAGGGGGGTGTGGGGGCATGGGATCAGAGATTGCATGAATGATTGAAGACTAAATTTGATTTTTGAAAATCCAATACCAAAAATGACCAGAAGATGGCAACAGTGCATCTATATCTACCACTTGCATGTACCGCATTTCTTTTGATATCCAGTTTTGCTGCTAAGTGTTACTGGAGCACAGGGTGCAGAAGCAAGCGCCTGGTTGACCTAATTTTCTGCACCAGCTGCTAAATGGCTTGCCATCTCGCCCCGTCTCCTCCAGCTATGCCCAGCGCTATTTCTTTTTGGGACCTTTATCTATGGTCATGACATCTTCCCCAGAGTTCATGAACTGCATTAGGCCCACTCCATGCAATTCTGTTTTCTCTATCGTCCTTCTCTCCAAACACAAAATTTAATTTATTTATTTTTTGACTTTTGAATGGAGCTGTAAATGGCGCAAGGTGACTTTCTGTGTAGATCTTCAGCACTGAACCACAATCTATCTGGTGATTTGAGCGCGAAACAAGAGGAGCATGTACGCGCTTTCATAAGACCCGCCCCTTTCTTCTCCTGATTGGCTAATACTGTTAGTTTCAGAGTGCTCCTTTGCTATCATTGGCTGACAAATGCAAGAGGGATATACATATGACTGTATATTTACAGTTCAAACATTATTATTATTATTTTTTATAAATAAAATAACCAATTTTACACAACATTCATCAGTCTAATGGCAGTGGGGAAGAAACTGTTATGGAATCTGCTGGACCTGCATTGGATGCGTTGAAGTCTCTTCCCAGAGGGCAGCAGGGAGAACAGTCCAGACTGATAGGTTACATGGCTTCTTTAAATTCTCCTTAGGTGTGAGTGTGTGCATGAATGGTTGTTTGTCCTGTTTGTCTCTGTGTTGCCCTGCCTCTTGCCCGTACACAGCTGTAGAGGCACCAGTACCCCTCACGACCCCGCCTTGGGATAAGCGTGACGAAAAATGGATGGCACTGTATGTTAACGTTTTATAATATTTTTTTCTCTGCACATTATGAGACACATGATTTAAGTTAATGCCACAGACTTCCCTCTGCAGATGTTCTCAGCGAGCTTGTTTTTACCACGTGCCTCAAACCTTCTCTTCCTCCAGGAGCAGGCTGCATGCTCCAGAAGAGTCCCATCGGCTGACAGCCCACATAGGAGCCTCCGACAGAAGGATCGCTGGTTACTGCCAAGGACACAAGAAGGATGAGGACGAAGAAACTAAATGACAGATAAATCCAACTTAGTTGTATTTATTCTTGTAAAAGCACTCTTATGTTTTCTTTATCTACCAATAGAAATCATTACATATCCACTCATTTTTCATAACACTGATTATTTTTTACTCACAGCAAAAAACTCCACTCTCGTTTGCATTATAATGAGCGAATGACTCCCATAGGTCTCCCTCATCGCTGTGCATTCTTGCACACAGGGTGACGGGACAGCGTGGGGGAAGCAGGTGTCCTCTAATGCTGACCGGCTCGTCAACGAGGCTGCGGAGAGGAGCTGCCGTCAATACAGGAGCTGGTCTGGTGTTACTCTTCCACCGAACTGCCCCTGCAGGGAAAAACCAACCAGAGAATCAGAACTTTGGAAACCTTTAAAGAAGAATGAAGTTTAGAAAGAAAAACTATCCTTTACTGTCAAACAAATGATCTGTTTAAATGTTAAGGTCTTAATTCATTCATTTATAATAGATTTTGTGACACTACTAAGCTTTTTTCAGAGATCTGGAAGGAAATTGGTAAAAAAAAAAAAGGGGATCATGCAATAAAGGAAACCTTTCACTTTACTGGGCTGCATCGCTGGAAGGATAGAGACCAGAGCTAGGCTTATACATCGGATATATTAATGACCGATAGCAGAGTTTCTTTCTTGTACGGATATGTGTTTAGAGTTTTGTTCTATTATTGTTGCAAGAAGGTATGTCCTAATACAACTTTTTTTTTCCTTCGGATACAATACTGTGACTGCAGCTTAGTGAACAGACCAATGCCAATATTTACTCAATATGATATCAGCAGGAATCATAGCAGCTTTATTACTTACTTTGTATTGTAGAAAGTAAGAAAAGCTTTGATCAACTGATATTACTAAAACAGAAAACCATAGTCAACAACAAAAGATATTAGAACAACTGACTCATGTAAGATCAAGTGATGAGTTATAGAAACTTTGGATGCAGAGAGTTTCTATCAGCCTGAGAGTATCACTGGTTTAAGACACAGAACCAGATTTTGTCCCAATGATCAGAACTAACAAGGTGAGGCTTTATTTTAGGGATGGGACGATTTATGAAAACCGTCAGAATCGTTCGGTTCGACTGTAGGCCCATTCATACCTCACGTAAAAGACGGATACGGATACGT